AAACCCAGATTAGAAACATTTGAAACCCAGATTAGAAACATTTGAAACCCAGATTAGAAACATTTTAAACCCTTAAAAGAACCATTTTAAACCTAGATTAGAAGCATTTAAAACCCAGATTAGAAACATTGTAAACCCATATTAGAAACATTTAAAACCCAGATTAGAAGCATTTAAAACTCAGATTAGAAACCTTTAAAACCCATATTAGAAACATTTAAAACCCAGATTAGAAACATTTAATACCTGGATTATTGAGCATGCAGTCAGGATACCAGTGAACCAATCCTTGTCCACCTCTTTCCTCAGGGGTTGGTGGCTTTCGTTCCTCAGCAGGCCTGGATACAAAATGCCACTCTGCGGGACAACATCCTGTTTGGAAAAAGCTACGATGAGCAGAAATACCGCCGCGTGTTGGACGCCTGCGCTCTAACACCGGACCTGGAAGTTCTGCCCGGAGGAGACATGACTGAGATAGGAGAGAAGGTACAAAAGTGGCGCTTTCACTGCCCTGTCCTCTGCAAAATGATCTGTTTTTGTTAATGAATATACAGTTGTGTTAAAAAGAAGCTCCTGTCTCGTTCAGTTCTAAGGTTTTACATGGCAGGACATGATTAAAAAAAAGATCTGGTATTCTTTTAAATTATTTATTTAAATCGGACGTCAGCTATAGAAAAATGTACAGCAGATTCCACCACGTCATTATTTATTAAACCAAAGCAAAGCAAAATTGAAATTATATATCTGTATGTATCTGCTGATCAAATGTATTGATCATCATCAGTGTGAGCACCTCAACAACAACAACAGAAGTTTTGTCGTCTTGCTGCTCTGGAGCAAACAAGTTAGTGTTAATGCAACGCCAAGATGGAAAGACATCTGCAATGGCCTTAAGAGAAACTACTGTTGCCGCTCATCAGTCTGGGAAGGGTCAAAGCGTGCTGCTAAATGAAGTTCATCAATCTTCAGAGAGAAAGATAATTTACAAGTAAAAAAACATTCCCAGGAGTGAAAGTTCTGGCACATCCACCCTAAGATCAGGTCAGAAAATTACGAGCTCTTTAAGAGGTTAAAGTTCATCAAAGAACAATTTGTTAATGACTGAACAAGTTTGTCTTGTTTGCAGGAGAAGACCTTTCTTTAAAAACTACAACATAATTAATATTTTTATCAATATCCATGCTCAGTAATCGCTGACAACTAATGCTTGTTTATGTTTATGTTGCAACTAAATGCACCACAGGACTTTAGTAACGATGTTCTTTAGCAGACAAGTAGTGATGTTCACCGATGATTTATAGTACCATGATGTGAAAACCAGATGCAGCAGATCAGTAGAAACCAACTGTCGAGCACAGTGGTGGGAGGGTGATGATATGTTCACAGTTTGGAGCCACAGGACCTGGGCATCTCACAGTCCGAGTCGACCACGATCTCTGGACACCAGAGGATTTTAGAGTCTAACTTAAAGTAGAAACTTCACTTTTGCCCCAATTTGGACTTAAAACATGACGTCACTCTCAGCAATAGTTTGAAAGAATGCAGTGTTCATTTTTAAATTAACTTTCTTAGTTACAAACTGAACAATTTAAAAATAGCTCCAGCTAACCTGGTGGTCAGTAGCTTTGTAGTCGGAACAGAACAGCTTCAACTCTGGATGTTGCTGGTTTCCTCACATTAACTGCTGCTTCAGGTCCTTCCATAACATCTGGATTGGATTAAGATCAGGACTTTGACTTGACCATTCCAAACATGAACTTTATTCTTCTTGAACCAAGCTTTGGTAGAACATCTTGTGTGTTGAGGGTCATTGTGTCGCTGCATGACTCACCTTCTCTTAAGATTCAGTTCATGGACAGATGTTCTGACATCTTCCTTTAGAATTCTCTGATATAATTCAGAATTCATTGTTCCATCATTGATGGCAAGTCGTCCTGGCCCAGATGCAGCAAAACAGTCCCAAACCATGATACTACCACCACCATGTTTCACAGATGGGATCAGGTTCTTATGCAGGAATGCAGTTTTACTTTCTCCAAACAGAACACTTTTCATTCAAACCAAAACGTTCTCATCCGTCCACAAAACATTCTTCCAACAGTCTTCTGTTGTGTCCACGTGATCTTTATCAAACTGCAGATGAGCAGCCATGTTCTTTTTGGAGACCAGTGGTTTCTCCTTCAACACTGCCATGAACCATTGTTGTTCAGTGTTCTCCTGATGGTGGACTCATGAACATCAACATTAATGTGAGAGAGACCTTCAGTTGTTAGAAGTTACCCTGGGGTCCTTTGTGACCTCACAGACTAATACACACCTTGTTCTTGATGTGATCTTTGTTGGTCCACCACTCCTGGGGAGGGAACAATGGTCTTGAATTCTGGTTGACTGCGGATCGGTGGAGTCCAAACTCTTCAGAGATGGTTTGTAACAATTTCCAGCCTGATGAGCATCAACAACTCTTTTTGTGAGCTCCTCAGAAATCTCCTTTGTTCCTGCCATGATCCACTTCCACAAACATGTTGAGAAGATCAGACTTTGATAGATCCTGTTCTTTAAATCAACAGGGTGTTCACTCACACCTGATCATCATCCCATCCATCCATCCATCCATCCATCCATTTTCTTTACCCGCTTATTCCATTTTGGGTCACGGGGGTCGCTGGTGCCCATGTCCAGCAATCACTGTGCGAGGGGCGGGGTACACCCTGGACGGGTCGCAAGTCCATCACAGGGACACATCGAGACAAACAACCATTGACTCTCTCACTCACAACTAGAGACAATCCAGAGTCACCAATCAACCTAACATGCATGTTTTTGGTCTGTGGGAGGAAACCGGAGTACCCGGAGAAAACCCACGCATGCACGGAGAGAACATGCAAACTACACCCAGAAAGGCCCCTGGACCGGGGTTTGAACCAGGGACCTGCTCGCTGAGAGGCAGCAGCTCTACCAGTTGCGCCACCGTGCTGCATAATAATATAATATATATAATAATATATATTCTCTCCGGTGTGAATCACATCGACATTTCTGTAAAACCAAGCAATCATGCATTGTTTGTTAAACTTTTACTGTCAAGTTGTCGACGTGGAGACTCATATTTTTATGACATGAAAAGTCTGACTTCTTACAGTTTCTCAAACCTTTTCTCTGACGGTGAACTGAAGCAAAAATGTACTAATTATCGGCAGTGATTAAAACAAACCAATGTGTTTGTCGTGCAGGGCATCAACCTGTCTGGTGGCCAGAGACAGAGGGTGAGCCTGGCTCGAGCTCTGTACAGTGATGCTGACGTCTACCTGCTGGACGACCCCCTGTCCGCAGTGGACGCTCATGTGTCCAAACACATCTTTGACAACCTTATTGGTCCTGAGGGTCTCCTGAAGGGCAAGGTGAGAAGAGAATAAACTCCACAGTTTGATCATTATTGGAATAGAATCAACAACAGGAAAGACGAACTCCTGTTCCGCTGAGCTTTTTGTTTGTAAATGTTTCGAAGAGTTAAAATCTGTGACGCTGCACTACCACCAACAGTTTTAGTACTGTGATCTCTATCGTGTTCCAGTTGAGGAAACTGAAACTTATCTTTTATTCAAGAGGAAGTCGTTAGTTTTGATCAGTTTATTGCTCAATGTTGCAAATATGAACCACAGTCTCTGATAAGAGAGTTCTTTTATTTGACAGCTTTGTGATGGGAACATGTGAAGTTAGGCCTGTACAACCCCAGTTCCAAAACAGCAGGGACTTGGTGAAAATGTTAATAAAATACAATGATTTGCTAATCTCATACACTCTCAATGGAACACGGTAAACAAAACAAATGTTTAAATTAAGAAACGGAGCCAGTTTTTAAAGAAAATAACAATAATTTAGAAATTTATTACTGCATTACATAAAAAAAAAAGTTTCTAGAGTAAGAAAAGCTGTAAAATTAAGGTGGACAAGTATGAAACGGCTGGAGGAGCATTTTGCACCTACTGAAGTGAAACGGCAACAGGTCAGTAAGAGATTCTTGAATCGCCGCCTTGTTGTGGTGGAGGAGTTTGTGTGCCTGAATGATCCTAGGAACTAAGCTGCAATTGTCCCTGGTGGGGTCTCCCAAGGCAGATTGGTCCTGAAAAATGTCAACAAAACTTGAAATTATTAATTTTTTTGCTTCCGGAGGACCCAGAAGAAGTCTACATACCTTTTTCTTTTTCAGGAAGAAATACAAAATTTGAAATGTTAATTCGGACATAATTTCTAATTTGCAAATGTCTGAAAAAGTCAGCATCCGGAAGAGAGAACCAGTCCCTTAACGTTGCAAATGAAGCAAACTTTTACAGATTTTCCAGTGTAGATTTGTCTCTTTAGTCTCCAATTTCTAAATGATATATCTGTTAGTGACGGGGGGGGGGGGGGGGGAGGCATGGTTACGATAAATTGGAGCATGAACTGAGGTCTTTGGTAGGTTACAGTGTACCTTAATTTGCTTCATATTTTCAAACAATTTAAATTAAACTGTTTATTCCACTATTTGTGGGAGATATGGGTGCAGAGAAAAGAAGAGCTGGGAGAGAACTGTTAACTCCTTTCAATGGCAATGTGGGTTTATGAGACTCAACCTTTTCTGGGTTGGGGTTGTAATAGCAAATGTATCTGGTTTATTATTATTATTTTTATTTTTTTCATATATTTGTCTTTCATTTGACCCCAGACACGCATCCTGGTGACACACGGCATCAGCTTCCTGCCTCAGGTGGACAACATTGTGGTGATGGTGGATGGTAGGGTGTCAGAGATGGGCTCATATGTGGATCTGTTGAAGCAGAATGGAGCGTTTGCCGAGTTTCTCAGGAACTACGCTCTGGAAGACTTGGTCGAAGAGGATGAGGCCACCGGTCGAGCTACACTTCCTCCTTTTTCTCAAGTCGTATAATTTCAGAGATAAACTGTTGAGCTCATTTTGTTTTTCTTACTGGCTTCACAGAAGATTTAATGGACGAAGATGAACTCTTCCCCGATGACGTCCTAAGTAATCACACAGACATGGTGGACAACGAACCTGTGATCAATGAAGCTAAGAAAAGCTTCCTGAGGTACTGGAACTCCTTAAAGAACTAAACATTACCATTTAATTAAGGTTACATAACAAAACTTTGAAGAAGTGGCCCTTTTTGTTAACTAGCATCCATTTATTGGCCACCTTCTCTAGACAGATCAGCATTCTTTCATCAGAAGGAGACGGCTCACGATGCCGCTCAGTGAGGAGACATGGCTGCAGCCAAAGGAAGCACGGGGAGCCTCAGGAGAAGAATAAACCACAGGAAATGGAGAAGCTGATCCAGGCAGAGACGGCAGAAACGGGCCGGGTCAGTCGACCTGATTAGATTTGATCCAGTGTGTGTTGGCCTGAAGTGAAGCAGGCAGCAACATGTGGCTTGTTCACCTTTAAGCTGCTAATCTTTTATTTCCATGTCGCCCAGCACCCAACATGAAAGGGCAGTAATGCTTTTGGCCCTGTGTGTGTTTTTGCTTCAAGTATCAGTTGTACAAACAATGAGCATCCTTCTGAGCACATACTCAGAGAGCTAACACATCTTGCAAGATCACAGAAGTTCATTTACAACTCTACAACAGATGATAGTTCAAAACTCATAAATACCGTATTTTCCAGCATATGTCACAGGTTTTTTTTTGCATAAATTAGCATGTCCTGCAACTTATACAGCAAAGTGACGTTTTTTTCTCTCCCATATTTATAATCCAATTTTTGACTGAGATCTGACGATTTCGTTCATTTTGACATGGAAAATATTGAACACTACCATTTTCAGCCACTAGTAGGCCCTTGACTAATATGGCAAGCTAAGTGCCTTATTAATAGGTAAACGTGGCTATTAATGAGACACTTGGCTTGCCATACCAAGCCACCGTCGTCTCGCTCTGGAACTCCTGGAGCAAACGTCAAATCAGCTACGAAATGCAGCTGATTTGACCATCAAAGTGCATTTATTAAGGAGAAGTTAGACTGAGATTTACTTTAATTTCAAGCAAACAAATAATTGATTTAAGTGTTAATCTTGTTGAAGTCCTCCCGTGCACACTCCCGCGGCCGCCATTTGGCAGCCCATCAATTTTTGGTACAACACCGGCCCACGTTTCCAGTTGTCCGTGGTGATGCATAATAGATGCGTCTTATACGGCGGTGCGACACGTATGGCGGAAAATACGGTAATTCTGTCACTAGTCCAGCCGACTTCTTTGAAGTGTTGTTAATGCTTTGATTCATTGTTTTGAGGAGGATTTCCATCAAATAAGAGACTAAATCAGTTATTTTCATAGAGTTAAGTAAGCTCAGCTGACTGGACGGTCGCTCATTAACAGGTGAAAACCAAAGTGTACGTGGAGTATGCCAAAGCAGTGGGACTGCTGCTCTCAGTGATCATCATCCTGCTGTACGGCTGCCAGAGCGCCGCCGCCATCGGAGCCAACATCTGGCTCAGCCAGTGGACCAACGACGAAGCTATGAATCGGACCGCAGAGAACGTTCACATGAGGGTGGGGGTGTACGCAGCGCTGGGCATTGCACAAGGTAAGAAACTGAACAAACGTCAGCATTTGATCTCTGTGGTGTTTAAACTACACGTTGTGCTTCTTCATCATGGTGCTGAAGTTTCTGTATTCCTGTAAAACCACAGGCCACTTGCATCCAAACTGCTTCTTAGTGGTGGTGAAATGATTTGAGTTAATTTTCCTGTCAGCTAGTCCCAAAGTTAGTTTTTAGTTGGACCGGAGAGGAGTTATCAACGGATTAAAAAAGACCAGCATTTCATCTGAAGATCATCACGTATTTTATTTTTTGATGTTTTTTTTTTTTTTGTCAGCTCACTGCACGGAGAAACCAGTGGTTTCCTTTCCTAATGTCATTCCTTTGTTAGTGAACTACTTTCATCTCCATGCTGTCCTTGTCTACATGGTAAAACAACGAAAACTTTCCTTTTTCCAATCTCTATTTTTGTTCTTTTCTCCTGTGGTTTAACCCCTTCACAGGTGTCCTGGTCATGATCTCTTCCTTCACTCTAGCCATGGGGAACATTGGTGCAGCCAGGAAGCTGCACTTTAACCTGCTTGCCAACAAACTTCACACGCCCCAGTCTTTCTTTGACACCACACCTATAGGACGCATCATCAACCGCTTCTCCAAGGACATCTACGTCATAGACGAGGCGCTGCCGTCCACTGTGCTCATGTTCCTGGGCACCTTCTTCCTTTCTCTCTCCACCATGATAGTTATCATTAGCAGCACGCCCTTTTTTGCTATTGTCATTGTGCCCCTGACTGCCATATACATCTTTGTCCAGGTACTTGTGAGCGGTCATTACTTTATTCTCTGTGCCAAACGATCCTCTACGGTTTTCTTTCCTCTGCAAATGTTTGACTCTTGCTCTCCCTGGAGTGGCATGCAGCATGCATGTTCGGTGCAGCAAACTTGGTAACCTTCTCCTTTTGGCTTTTGCCTCCCTCAGCCTGGGATGTCTGTGATGAACTGCTGCTGTGTTTCGACTCCTTTTTTTACTCCTGATTTTCCTTTGCTCTCTCCACAGCCAAAATACTCCCTGTCCTGCCTGCAGCATATTTCCACACCTCTCACACACATTCCTAAAGACATGCATGGTTGTCGAGTTGTGCAACACACTCCCAATATCTAGAAAACGCGCTCAGTGGTGCCATACTGTTTAAAAAGAATAGTTTTTGAGTGACTCATAACCTCCCTCTAGTGGTGCACCAGCGCTATTACAACTCAGCATGACATTTCATTTTCACTGAAGTCCAGTTTCAGGAGGTCTGGACTTCTTGTGGCAATAATAAGCTCCAGCTGTTGGTCCTGTCACTGCTGTTGTGTTGTGTATTTCTCCTGCGTGGGAGAAATATTATCATATAGGATCATAAAATATTTTAGTCCTCAGGTGGAATAAGAGGAGGATTTTTTGATCAAGGGATCGACTGAGTTTATCTGTTTTTAATTATTAAGAACCATTTTAAAGTTTACAGTTGGATTTATTACTAGTTAAACAATAAATTATGTATTTTCCCTGTAAAAGGAGTATGATATATAAACCAATCAGATCAAACAGGTTTATTGTCAGTTTGAGGGTTAATGTTGCAGAAAAAGCTCAGAACTCCAGTTTAGGGTTAAAACTGCAACAGTTCATGAAATATGAATTCTCTGCAGCTCCTCAGCACGAAGCTGACCTAAAGCTAACCACAAGAAGCATTTTGGTTTTTTCCCCAATGTGCAGCTGAAATGAGAGACTGGATCAATAGTTGTGACTGATTGTCACATCTGAGTCGGTGGTAAATGTTTTACAACACAAACACACACACTCTGATTCTTACATTATACTAGAGGTTTTATTTGACCATTTTTACAATTAATTATTTTCTTATTATTCAATTTATTTTCAGTTCATTTTTCACGTTTTGTTTTGTAACTTAAAGATCAATTGGCTCATTTAGAAATGGGGTTCTGAACAGTCAATATCTTACCTGTCGTTGATGGCTCTGTGAATCTTCTCAGTTTGGTGAAAAGAGGTTTTTTATTTATTTTTTTGACAGCTGTAGCAGCTTAACTGTAGCACTTTCAGTACAGTTTGCGTCTGTTCTGGTCAGAATTTAAACATATTTCTGCTGAAAATCTCATTTAATGCTAAATTAAAAACGATAATTTAAAAGCATTTGAAATTTTTTTTGACCGAAATTGTTTTCCAATGGAAGTTAAAGACCGAGCCGTAACTAGCTCGTCAATATGGTCTGAATAGACTGCAGCAAAAAAAGCACCGATTTTTAATGTAAAATAAAATTTCTTCTAAGAAGAAATAATGATTTATGAAAGTGTATTTGTATGACCCACTTTAAAATTGTAACCGTTAAGTTTTAAGAGACAATAATCCTCTTGGGTCTTGGCCCACGTGGGCTAGCTGTTATCTTGTCTGTACTATCGGACCTAGACTCTGTTTCTCCAGAGGATGTTTAAAGATACATCTACAACAGGTAAGATACTAGATCTTCACTTCTTTTCCACAGAACCATTATTAGAAATTGCAGGAAGATCCCTCAGATGTATTTGTTGCTGTTTATACATTAAAAGGTCATTTTTGAAATCATGTCAGGTAGTTATCAGTAGTCTGCACCAATCCAGTGCCCTCGTTTTCAATTCAGTTTATTTATGAAGCACCAAGTCCCAACAGAAGTTGTCTCAAGGCACTGAACAGAAACATTCTCATACTTTATAAAAGACAATTAGTAAAGTTATCTAAGTAAGAAAGCAGCAGAATGTGCTGAATCGTCACTTCATCACCGTCTCCCATCCTGAGCAAGCACAAAGGAGACGGTGGAAAGAAAAAACTCCCCTTTAACAGGAAGAACCCTCCAGCAGAACCAGAACTCAGTCGTGTCTTGGTAATGTGTAGAGTTTTATATATTGTTTTGTTGAAAAATGTTCCTGAAAGAGATATGGTCTTGAAGGCTCTGGAGTCTCTGCTGGACATTTCTGCGTTAATGTTGCCATCACAGAACCGAACATACGTTCTATCAAGAACACTGATACAACTCACACCACCACAAAGCTGGGGATTTGGGCTCTTCACAAAAACGAGATAATGTTTGTTTGATTACAGCCTGAGCTTCCACTGTTTGTCTACCAGTGAGTGCAGAGAGGTGCATGTTGCCTCTGGACGAGGATAACGGGCTTCTTTTTTTCTTCTTCTCCAAGTGCCGAAGTCTGAATTCATATTTGTTAACAGTGTTTTTTTTTTTTTTTAGCTAACAATTGTTTTTCTAAGTTTCATGTTCATACAATCAGCTGCTTCTGAATGATAGTTCTTGATAGAGCCCGGCCAATATAAGATAAGATAGAGATAAGAACTTTATTGATCCCGCAGGAAATTGTTGTGCCAGAGTTTCAGTACAAAGGAACATACACAAAGAATCACACAAGATATAAAAACTAACAGAGAATATAAAAATACCAACAATTAAGTTCTAAAGCAGGTGCAGACAGAAACATTAAAGTGTTTATTGTAGGACAGGAATAATTTTATTGTCCTATTTGCAGAAAGGGGGAGGAGTTTAAAAGTTTGATAGCCACGGGGAGGAAGGACTTCCTGTGTTGTTCTGTGGAGCACCTCGATGGTCTCAGTCTACGACTGAAGGTGCTGTGGTAAGAGTCCAGGGTGTCGTGCAGGGGGTGTGACATGTTCAGGACCTGGAGCAGGTTCCTCAGCATCCTCTGCTCAGACACCTGTCAGAGACTGCAGGTCCACTCCCAGAACTGAGCCCGCTCTATATATCGGTAGGGACAATATTTTAGGCCGATACAGGGTTTAGGGACGTTGTACCGGTGACAATTGTCCCATTACGTGCCGATTTAAACACTGGGAACGAGCCGTGTCCTTCCTTGCACAAGGAGTAACTATAATGTAGCAGAGGATGCATGAAGACTATTTTCAGGGAAAGGCGTTTCTTTGTTTAATTTATATTTTTGTAACACGATAACTTTATGGTGAATAGTGGAGGATAGAGAATGTGAACGCACATTAGGAAAACTTGTTTCAAGACTTTCAAGTGTTAAAACAGGTTTCAGCCAATTAGATGGATAGATTTTCCTCATCGGCCGGGCTCTAGTTCTTGACAGTGGTTCAGATATCAGGGTGTCATGTTGACTCTTTCTCCCTGCTCTTTCATGGACTGCAGTTCTTTGGTATTCAGTTAATCTTTAAAAAAAAAAAATACATCACTGAAAGAGAACTTTGCAAACTTGTTATGCTCTTAATTTGAGGAACTCTGGTTTTAAACATTTAAAAAAATATCTGTCACACACTTGGTGACAAACTGGACATTCATTGCTTCTCTTCGCTAATTAAATATTTGGAATGCAAAAAAGCCCAAACATGATTTATATCATACGGATGGGCTTTTAAAGCAAAATTATTTTCCTAAAATTCTGGGCAATATGTAATGAACAAATAGCAAAAGTGATATTCTTGAAGTAGTAAGAGTCTTGGGATACTTTTGCAGGAGAACATGGTGTTGCTTCGTGAGACCATGATCCTGTAAAAAGTAAACGCTAGACTGATGAAAGCCATGGTGACGTTTATTCAGTGATCTCTAAACCTTAAAGTGCAAACAACAATCTACAACTAGAGATCTGGGAAAACCCTGCTTTGTCTTATTTTCAGCTCCTCAGGTGAAAATGGATGGAGGCTGTTGTTTCTTTGGTCTGTAGGAACAGATGTGATCCGTTTAACACGCATGTTGTTGTTGTCACACTTGACCCCCTCCCCTTCTCGCAGGTGTGCTGATTTTGGTTAACTGCCTGTTGTGCCGGGCCTACAGTATGCTGCGGGCAGCCAAGCTCACACACCACAACATGCTGCAGGGGGTCCTGCAAGCTCCACAAGCCTTCTTCGAGAGCACCCCGACTGGGCGGTTACTAAACCGCTTCAGCAAAGACGTGGATGCTATAGACACCTACATCCCTGACAATATTGACATATGGATGCGCACTTTCTGGTACACACTGAATGTGCTGCTCATATGCTCTGCCCTCACCCCAATGCTCCTCATAGTCATAGCCCCGTTAATGGTGTTCTATTGGTGGGTTCAGGTAAATAGGAAACAAGTATGCTAACTCATTAATGCAACATGCATGGCTGTGAGTGAGTGTGCTAGTAGACTGTTGCATGTGTTTAAAGCAGTAATCAAGCTATGCTACTAGAGTGTGATCTGAGTCTTTTAGCTTGTCTGGTAGAGTGCTGGTCAGCTGTGGAGTTAAAGTAGTCCATTTGTGAGTGGCGAGCTCTAGTTAGCTGGACCTCTTGATTCAGCTTCCTATAAAATTACTGTATTTTCCGGTGTATAAGTCAGTTTTTTGCATATATTTGTCAGTGCTGCGACTTGTACACCGAAGCGACTTATAAACACTTTTTTTTTTTTTCCATATAACGCAATTTTTGACTTTAAGTGTTAATCTTAAATTTCAAAGAAATGCAACTGCGAGTCCTCCCGTTCGCACCCGCTCCACTCAGCTGGTGCAGGCGGAGGAACACCGGAGAGCTAGTGGCTCCAGCCGCATGGGATGGATGGAAGACGCGCTGCCATGGCGAAATGAAGCCGTGTCAGCAGTGACGCATAATAAATGCGACTTGTACGTCAAAGCGACTTAAATGTTTTTTCCTCTTCGTGATGCTTTTTAAAAAAATTTTTATGAGACTTATACGCTGGAAAATACGGTAGATATTTGAGGTTCTACTGGGCAACGAATCATTGAACTTGGATTAGCAGATAAAATGGATGCAATTGACATTTTTGAATTTGATTTCAGTGAGTTGTATAGAGCAGAACTTTTTCACAAGCAGAAATTGTTACACTGATCTAAAAATCTGAATGCTCCAAAAATTTGACACAAACACCTGTTGATTTTTTTTTTCATGCTTAAGGGTTGTTGTCATCTGCAACAGGATCTGCTCAATCACAAGTTTCCACAGTTCTGTCATGTAGGCTTCTTGTAGTTAGTTTGTCCGTTATCACATCGTGGCTTCTTTAATGTTGCCAGATTTTTTTCTAAGCAAATATTTTTGCATTAAGTTTCACATGGGTGAGTTAAATTAGTAGAGGTGAATATTTCTGCCACAGGTGCTGCTCAATGAATCTGTTGTGGCAGTAAAAACATCACATTTGCTGTTTTTATTTATTTATTGTGTGTGCTCTAATTTTATTGATTATGCGACAATTTCCAAATCAAGATTAACTTTTGTAAAATACTTTTTCACACAGTCTGTCATGTCCACTGAGAGGCGTGGCTTTCATTAGTGGGCGTGGTTTGTGTCTGTTATGGGCCAGCTTGACACAGCTGACAGGTTTGGGTAAATGACCTGAAAAGGAAAGCGAGGCCCACTCCTGTTGGATTGGGTGGACAGCTATGGACTAGAACTTGGAGATATTGTTGAATAGTGACAGATCACTTTGAGGATCTTTCTAAATGCAGAAGCAGAGCTTGAAGTCTGGATAAAATTCACCCTGAGATATTGAGGACTCGCCTCTTTGAGAGTTTTAGGACTGTATTTTTCAGATGGTTTGATTTTATAGCTTTCCAGAACACGAGTTCTAGTCCAGATTACTGCAGAATGTGCCGCCAACATGAGAGTAATTTACTCCAAATCTTTGGTCAAGGTTCTCCACCGGAAAATGGTGCCAAGAAAAAGGTTTTGAAGAAGCAGCTGAGCTAACTGGTAAAGTTCTTGATTAACTGGTCCATCAATGTTTCAGTCCTCACCTAAATGACTCGGATAGGACTAAAAGAATAGAATCATCGATACAAGCGGATGAAGTGAGACTATTTTTTTTTTTTGTAGCGTAGCTAACCTCAGTCTTACTGATGAGCTGAGAAGCTTGATCATTGGGGAGGAGCTCAAAATCGAGTTCTGTTGCTCCCCCATTGAGAACGGTCAACTCAGATGGTTTGAGCATCTTATTAGCTGCCTCTTACAAGCTTACCTTTGGAGGTTTTCCTGCCATGTCCCACTAAGTGAAGAACTTGAGCCAACTGGTTTAGCTCCTGGTTTCCTGGTCCAACTGCGTTCTAACTCTGGGCCATGATCATGACGTAGGGCTGGACGATATGGCCAAAACTTTCATCACGATATTTTTCTTAATTTCGGTCGATAACGATATAATTCGATATCGATATAAACAATATAAAAGCCTCACTAAAACTGTACAAATAAATTAATGTTCCCCTTTTATTTGTATTTAACCTTCAAAAAAAAAAATTAAATCACCATCAAATAAACATAAAAGTCAGCTTTGTCAATATTAATAGTTTTAACTTTAAACAACAACATAACCCATGTTGGGTTTCTCTTTTGCTACAGCTGGGGTGTTTCAGGGACACGTTGGCTCAGACTTTTATTGTGCTTCATCTTCTGACTCTCAGCAGATTTTATCAAGTGGAACAAGTTCGATGTGTTCCCACCGCTCCGTCACATTTTGCAGCACACAGACTGAAACCTGCATTTTACCGGATCTTAGAAAGCCGAACCACTTCCACACCGGCTAATTGGTCTTTCCTCTCTTCTCAGTGATGTCGTCTTCTTTCTCTTCGCTTGTGAAAGCTTGTTCAATCACATTCTGACGGTCATGGGAACTCATTTTGAAGCAAAAACTCAACGCGTGTTGTAGCTGACTCCTTCGAGCTGCGGTGTACGTCACCACGCACTTACGTAGTTGTGTCACGGCTTCTTCTGTTCGGGCGAGTTGAAACTGAAGCGGCCGCTTCAACCCGAACAGACAAAGAAATGCGTCGGCGAAACGCTGTAATCATATCGAAATATCAAAAATGTGCTTCAAACCCATATCACTGTTGGTGAATAAAATTATATCGTGATATATATCGATATTGAATTATTGCCCAGCTCTATCATGATGGTTCAGAAGAATGAGATCTTGCATATAAATGGTTAAAGTGCGTTTCCTTCATGTGGCTGGCCTCAGCCTCAGATATAAAGTGAGAACATTGTCATCTGGTAGGAGCTCAGAGTTGTGAGACGCTACAAAAGAAATGGTCAAACGAGGTTTGAGCATCCTGCTTGCCTTCATTTGGAGACTTTCTGCCAGAGGGACCGTGTTTTAATTTCTAGCCTGTTAACTCAATGGGAGCTCCATGGATGAGATGTTTGAGTTTCCCTCCTGACTGTGGTGAAGCTGTTGAAAATGGGTTGGTGGATGAATAGAAGGACAGGCAGTCAGTGAGAACAACACAATCTTTTTTTGTGAATTTTTTTTAAGTCGACTTTGTTTTCAAACCAGATTGACGTTAACATCTCGACTGGGCAGCTATTTTTGAAGGATTTGCTTGTTTTCCATAATGGTGATTCCAACTGAACTACCAAAGGAATAAAATCAGATGTACTAACACAAAGTTGTTTTTTTTTAATCCCGCTGCTTTGTTTTGGCATCCGCCCTGCTTTTTTGCTGCATGCTGTCTTTGCTTTCACTTTACTGATTTGGTTTGGCTAATGCAAACGGATCGGAACAACATGAGAACAAACTTGGTTCTGTGTTTGTAAGCTTCTAACAATTTCATCTAATTGTCTTTATTCGACAATAAATGTGATTTTTGACAGTGTACAGTACGTGCAATGATAAACAAAACACCAGCAGTTAAAACTCCATTGGAACAGCGAAGGTAAATTTGCAGCGTTACAATCTGGCGACTTGATTCAAGCGCTTGCACACAGAACAGAGTGCACAGCATTCCTGCAGTTGGAGCTGGAGAGCTGATGTAGAACTGGGAACATTACTGGCATCTGTTCAACAATGTGAAAAATTGGAGTATCCAGTGACCCTGCGGGTGTTTTGTTCACAAAGGCTTCCTTTATTACTCTGTGTGTGCGGATGTGTATGCATGTGGGTTTGTCTATGCACAACCTTTTTGACATTTCTGAACATGTGCCAAGTATCATCAGGTTGTAATGCTGTGTTTGTTTTTCTTCCTCTCAATGCCTGTAGAGATTTTATGTTGCCACGTCTCGGCAGCTTAAGCGTCTGGAGTCGGTCAGCCGCTCTCCCATATACTCCCATTTCTCTGAGACCGTCACTGGCGCTAGTGTAATCCGAGCCTATAGCAGACACGCTGCCTTTGTTCTGATGAGTGATATAAAAGTGGATGAGAACCAAAAGAGTTACTACCCTGGTATAGTGTCCAACAGGTAAGGGTCCTGCCTCAGCTCAGCTGAACAGCAGCTCTTTGTTGCACTTTTCTTAAGAAACAAGACTCCTTTAGTCACAGGTTCTTGTAAATGAGTCCCCGAGGCTCAATGGGATTAACCTGTATAAATAAAGGTTGAATGAACAGGTGTCACAGAAGACCCAAGTAGGATGTTCAGTCCTCAGGATTTTTGGGACAACTCCAAAGCATAGTTAAATCTAAGTTAACACCCAGATCCATTAGGTCCAGGACCCCAGTGTGACCATAGTTTCAAAGCAGAATGCCATCATCGTACCAACTGACCACCCTCAATGTTTTTAGAAGACTTAAGCAAATCTGACATTTCATCCCAGAAACTTTTTTTTTTTTTTACGTTGGCCAAACAGACACAGGGCTGTAGAATATAGAACACAGTTTTGGTGCTGGGCAGGTTTACAGATGACCAGGCACGTTCCCCATGGACTTTTGCTGTTTACAGACATTTTGATCTATTGTGAGAGTAGGGAGCAGGTGGAAGAGAGCCATGAGAGGTGGTGGTATGCCTTAAAGAGAAGAGGGATGAACGTCAGTTGAATCAAGGCAGACTACATCAACCATCCAAAGCAACAGGCAGAACGCAGGAGAGGTGAAGGAGAGCGTGTGTAGGGCGGAGTGGATGGTGAGTGTCGGGGCTGATTTGTGACGAGGTCAGCTACAAGCGATGGGGAAAATTTACAAGATGGTAGTTAGAGATGCGATGTTTGGTTTGGACAGTGGGATTTATAAAATGTCGGACTGCATCAAGCAGCTCATTTTAGACGGATCAAATATTCCTCAAAATCATAATTATAAAAGGGCAAAAAGATGAAGGCGCCCATAGTCTATCCAGGTTATACAACAGAAAGACAAGATGGTATTATCTTTTTGCAGCAGGGACAACCTGAAGACCTGAAGATGTTATCATTTTCATTGCGTCACTAAAGTGGAGAGTATACAAATATATATCAGAGGGGCAGCTCAGCTTGAGTGGTTTGGAGATGCTGTTAGTGTCTGAGATGTTTGGACACAAAGAATGTTGAATGTAAAGCTGTCAGGTAGGAGGAAATGAGGAAGACTAGAGAAGGTTTCTAAACGTAGAGGAGGGTATGCAGACGGTTGGTGTGACAGAGGATGTTGGGGATGGGGTGAAACTGAGGCAGGTTAGTCGACCCCGAAATGGAGCTGCCAAAAAGACAACCAACAATAGATTATCAGTCTGTTTGACCACTATATTGTAGTATTATGTTACATATTATCAATCCGTCTTCTAGATGTGATGAACATCTTTGCATCCACACTCCTCTTACACTTTTACAGCAAACCCTCACAGTTGTGTAGCAAAATAAACCATCATTCTTTAGCATATAATTAGCAGAAATTGAGTTCCTCACATCATGTTCTAACTGGAAGCCTGCTGTCATCCAGGTGGCTCGGGGTGCGTATCGAGTTCATCGGGAACTGCATTGTGTTGTTCGCTGCTCTGTTCGCTGTAATAGGAAAGAAAAGCCTCAACCCTGGCCTTGTGGGTCTGTCGGTGTCATACGCTCTCCAGGTAACACACACACACAAGCTGCTTCACAAATACATTCAGGTCCAGTACTATATTATGACACTGGTATTGTTGTAACAGGTGACCATGTCTCTGAACTGGATGGTGCGGATGACATCAGACCTGGAGAGCAACATCGTAGCAGTGGAGAGAGTGAAGGAGTACTCGGAGACCAAGACAGAGGTACTTTGAAGCCCATGCTGCGAGTTCACACATGCAGAAACTTTTAGTGTTTGTTGTCCTTCGTGGAGTGAAGAGGGGGAATTGGAAAAACTCTTCAGGTGCCACCATGTATGTATATATGTAAATGTTGTGAGTTGGATAATGTCAAAAATAAGCAATGTGCTGACTTCCATTTTGATGTGTGGCTTTGTCAAGTTATTAAAAGGTCACTGTAGAAAATGGGTTGCCATGTCAGCACCCAAGATGGTCACCTCCATATAGAAGAAGAAGAAGAAGCTTAACTGTTATTGTACAAGAGGAACAAATAAACTTAGTTGGGCAGCAATCTCTTCAGCTGCTTCAGTTTTCATATGAGCATAAAATAGATATAAAATGGAATACTCTGTATCATTTTAGCAGCAGCAGTTGTGCAAATATGTTTATATAAGCATATATATATATATATATATATATATATATATATATCTAACCAAAAAGTATGCATCGTAATTTCCAGACTATAAGCCGCTACTTTTTTCACACACTTTAAACACCATGGCTTAAACAATGCTGCAGCTAATTTATGGATTTTTTATTTATTTATTCATTCATTAATTTTTTTCAGGTCTCTCTTGTAAATGAGTCCTCGAGGCTCAATGGGATTTACCTGTCTAAATAAAGGTTGAATGAATGATGGACTAATGAGCTTCTTGCCACCAAAACATTTAGCCTGGTCACACCCGGCCGCGCTCATAGCTGCCTAATACACGTCTCTCTTGGGGGGTGGGTCCTCATGACTCAGTGAGACTACATGTATAAACAAAGGTTAAAAATAAAATGAAATCTGGACAATGAAATTACCAAACAGGTCACAGTGGGAGCTCAACAAAATATTTTAGCCACTCGAAATAAGTGTGAATCGTGCATTAATGTGGCACTCGGAGCTCTGTGGGAGGCTTGAATGACCGGCGGTGAGAAATCGTTGAACAAAACTGGCCACGTGCGCAGAGCAACTTTTGCTCAAGTCTGCCAGTGGATCCTGACAGAGGAGCAGTGTAAAAAAAAAAAAACCCTCCATCACCAGCGGGTTTCAAAAGGCAGTTGCATGATGAAGAGGACAACACGAGCTTAAGGGTGCAGTGCGCAGGAGGAAGATGAAGATAGCTATCAATAACTTTCTGGCAGGCTACTGGTTTTTTTTTAACCAGTTGTGTTACAGGCACTGTTCAGAAAAAAACATTTACTACTACTAACATACACAAATACTGCGTATTTGTGTATATTACCGGTACGTATTTAATTAAAAGTTTTAAAAATATCTTTCTGTGTAACTATCTCATGTTACAATGTGGACACCTGCGGCTTGTATACAAGCGCGGCCTATAAATGTACAAAAAACGTTTTACTTTTAAATTTAGTGGGCGTGGCTTATATTTGGGTGCGCTCAATAGTCTGGAAATTACGGTACATCATGATGCATGAATATTAAGATTTATATTTAAGAATGAATGATCGTGTTTAGAATATCCAGCTCTCTTGTGAAACCAGCCAACCTAATCGTTTAAGGAAACTATGCTTTCTAGTTTTTATTTTGCTTGAAAGTATAGTTTTCTCAAATGACTGAGGTGGCTGGTGGGGTGGCTGAAGATGGCCACCATAGGCCACCCCGTGGCTCTGCCATTGTACCTGGTGGTGGTGAAAATTGCTCCCTCTGTCACTCTGCACCACCCCGCCTCTCTTCTTCTACACAGTGTAGCTCCTTCCCACTTGAATAGCTTGTGCCAAAAACATTTAGGTTTATTTGCTTTCACTGTTCAGTTCCAGTTCAGAAAAACACTCGTCTCAAAAACTACAAACATTCTCTATTGAAATTCCTCAGCGGCGGGGGACATTGGCGTACTGCTTGTTTTTGTGTTGCCTTTACATTACATTAAGTTGAGCTTTTGAGTTAAAACAAACTAAAACTAGATCCAGATGTTGGTGCCAACAAGGACCCCCATGTTAAACAAGAAGCTTTTGGTCCACTCTGTGCTAGAACAGGTGTAACTGTTAGTGACCACTTTGTGTTGAGGTGAAATAAATGTTTGGCAGGTCTGAGAGGGTCCATAAAACCCAACTGGGTCTGGAAGGTTGTCTTTGTGCTCACAGGCCCCCTGGGAGGTGGAGGACAAGAAGCCCCCTTCTGAATGGCCCATGAATGGGAACGTGGAGTTCCACAACTACAGCGTCCGGTACCGCGAGGGTCTGGACCTTGTCCTGAAGAACCTCACACTTAATGTGAAAGGAGGAGAGAAGGTCAGTGAAGGTTATGTTTAAAAACAAACCCTAACTTTTTTTTTTTACCTTGTTCATCCAAATGGTGCTCAGCTGTGATTTGCATCGTGCAGATCGGCATTGTGGGTCGCACAGGGGCTGGGAAGTCCTCCATGACGCTCTGCCTCTTCAGACTGCTGGAAGCTGCTGGAGGTGAAATCACCATTGATGATGTGAAGATAGCAGAGATAGGGCTGCACGACCTGAGGTCCAAACTCACCATCATTCCACAGGTACCTGCATCCTGTGCCTGGTTAGGTTACGGTTAAACTGGGTCAGAACTATCCTGATGCATGCTCAATAATCCAGGTAGAAAAATCTACTATTTAGATATCAGCTATTTAAGAGACTGAGCTGAATACAGCTCCTCAGACTGAGGAAGTCTCTCGGATGAGAGACAAAACGTTTCTACATTTTTGTTGTTGTTTTGCTTTGTTTTGTTTTTCTGAATGTCCAGAGGACCAGATTTAACTTTTTAGATGGGTCAGAACTAGTTCACATAACTGCAGTTTTCCCAGTGTGTGTTACCATCAAAGGTACCAGTGCATAAGCATTAAAACTCCTTTATTCCCAGTTCTCTATCTTCTGTGTATACTTCATACTCTGCATGTTTTTAAATGTTGATGCCCTACTCCTCCCAGTTTTGGAACAACCCGTATAGAAACTGTATAAAATGTGCAGTTCAGCATCTTTAGTCTTTGCGTTAGCTTCCTTAAAGCCTCGTCTCTGCCCCAGGAGCCCGTGCTGTTCTCTGGGACCCTGCGAATGAACCTGGACCCCTTTGACAAGTACAGCGACGAAGACGTGTGGAAAGCCCTGGAGCACTCTCACCTCCACAAGTTTGTCAGCAACCAGGCGGCAAAACTAGAGCTGGAGTGTTCGGAGGGAGGAGAGAACCTCAGGTGTGTTCAGGGGAGAAAGATGTGAACTTTGGTCTCTCTGTGCAGTTATTATTATTATTTTATAATCACTTGTTGTTGTATTTCCAGTGTGGGCCAGAGGCAGCTGGTGTGCTTGGCTAGAGCACTCCTGAGGAAGACGAGGATCCTCATCCTGGATGAAGCTACGGCTGCTATAGACTTGGAGACAGATGATCTCATCCAGTCCACCATAAGGACTCAGTTTGAAGACTGCACCGTCTTCACTATTGCACATAGACTTAACACTATCATGGACTACACAAGGTTAGATATTTGCTGTGTATTTATAATCTAGTTGTTTGTGTTGGTAAAGGTAACTTAAATTGACTTAAATCTGTACAAACTCCACATATCTGTTTCCTCAGGATTAGGAGGATGTAAGAAAAACCTGCTCTTATTACATCTCTCAACTTCTGCTGTCAGAGGTTATGTTTGTGAATATAAAGTACATTATTTAACGTTCAACATTCAAAGCTTGTTTTCTGTGGTGGTCAGAAAACACAAGATTTACTTCAGGAGGAACATTATAACAGGAGTTCTGCTGTCGGGGGCAGTTATTGTCCCTGGTAGGGTCTCCCAAGGCAGATTGGTTCTAGGTGACAGGCCAGACAAAGAGCGATTCAGAAGATTTATATGGACATAAAGAAACGAGGAGCTCATTGTCCCTTGCTTGGACGTGAGTTACTGGGGCCCCACACTGGAGCCAGACCTGGTGACCGGGTCTCTACCTAAGGCCTGATCAGGCTCAGCTCTAACAAGCAACATGGGTTTGCTTTCCTGTGGGCCCACCACCTGCAGGAGGGGCCACAAAATTGGGTGCATGACACCATGGGCAGTGGCTGAAGGTGGGGAGCCTTGGTGCTCTGACCCTGACTTACCAAAGCTGGCTCTTGGGACCTGGAATGTAACCTCTCTGGTGGGAAAGGAGCCTGAGCTTGAGGTTGAGAGGTACCGACTAGATATGGTTGGGCTCACCTTGATGCACAGCATGGGCTCTGGAACTGATCTCCTTGAGAGGGTCTGGACCTTGTTCCTCTCTGGAGTTGCCCATGGTGAGAGGCGCTGAGCTGGTGTGGGTCTACTTGTAGCCCCCCCGACTTGGTGCCTGTGTGTTGGAGTTTTTCCCGATGGATGAGAGAGTGGCTTCTCTGCACCTTCGGGTGAGGGGGACAGGCTCTGACTGTTGTTTTCCCAAATGGCAGTTCAGAGTGTACGGCCTTCTTGGGGTCCTTGGCGGGGGTGCTGGGACTCCTTTATTCTGCTGGGGGACTTCAATGCCCACATGGGTAACAACAGTGTGACCTGGAGGGGTGTGACTGGGAGGAATGGCCTCTCTGATCTGAACACGAGCTGTGTTCTGTTGTTGGACTTGTGTACTAGTCAGTTTGTTCATCACAAACACCATGTTTGAACATGAGGGTGTCCATAAGTGCACTTAGAACCAGGACCCCTAGGTCATAGATTGGTGATTGACTTCTTAATCATGTCATCTGATTTGTGACTGTTTTGGACACTCGGGTGAAGAGAGGAGCTGAGCTGTCAACTGATCACCACCTGGTAGTGAGTTGGATCAGATGGTGAAGGAACATGCTGGACAGACCCGGTAGACCCAAACATGCAGTGAGGTACTGGGAACATTTGGCAGAAGAACCATCAGAAAGGTCTTCAACTCACCTCCGGGAGAGAACTGCATCCCAGCTGAGGTGGGGGACATTGAGTCAGAGTGGGCCATGTTCCAGTTTAATGGTTGGTCCACTATGTGAGTAAGCCACTTATGGGACTGAGTTTGATGTTGCTCCTCGAACGGATGAAGTCCTTTGGATGAAAGACGAAACGTTTCAACAAAACAAGAAACTGTCCAGAGGACCTGACTGAACTTTGTTGGATGAATAAATCATTTACAGTACATGTACTCAAGTTGAATCTCAAGAGACAACAGACATCAGTGACGCAGTAAAATAATGTTTTTAACCCTCCCACCCGCCTGTATGTCCTGGTAACGTTCATAAGCTGCAGCTGACACCTTCTTAATGGGTTTATTACTACAAGTTGTTCTTTGCAACCAGACACTTAATTTGACTGCAGTTTTTACATTTCCTCATTCATTTATACATTTTTGTTTTCTTTCAAAAGTTTGCCTCTACACCCCCACCCCAAAAATTAATAAATAAATAAACATTTTGTCAAGATACTTCTGCCACTTAGAGTTCAGAACATTTTTCACTACGGCTTGTACTTTTATCCCAGGCTTACTTTCTACTCTGCATTTCTGTCTACCTGTTCTATAATGAGTGTTGTCAGAGAGCGAGAGATGCAGCTGTGTGGTTACCATGGCGACTCTACTGCGCAGCTGGCACCACCTTAAACGTTCATCTTGTTCTCAGGTCTCTATACACATGTTATCAGCGTTTAGATTTTTACTAAAGGAGGTCCCAGATGTTCGTAGAGGAGAAACTAGACTCATGGGCAGTAAGTTTCTCGCTCAACTTGTTTCACAGAACTTGAGCAGCAGGTTTGAGACAGCTGTACATTTACAGGTAGGTATGGCTGCAGAGATAATGCAGTGACTTGTGTTACAATGTACACAACAAACAAACTTAGTTTCAGAATCGGTGACGCAGTCGTCTCGTCTGTCCTCTTCCAGGGTGCTCGTGTTGGACAAGGGACAGATAGCGGAGTTTGATACTCCCACAAACCTCATATCCCAAAGAGGAATCTTCTACGGCATGGCGAAAGACGCAGGACTGGTGCAGTAGGTCTGCCTTCGTCTCCCCAAGTTCCAGATCAGGATCCAGGTTCACGTCGGTGACGAACCGAGCAGGGCTTTTCATGTGGACGTTTCAAATAAAATTATGTGGGTTGTTTGCAACATTCTGCTCATTTTGAATGAAGCACAAACTCTGCTGCAGACGTGGTGATCTGCAAAGTAACATTCAGAGCCATGAGTATGCTGTTTTATACATCTTGTTCACCTTCACTTGTCTCTCTGGCAAATAGGAAAGAAAAAGCCATACGTGCAGACGCTGTCTGATCCAAGCCTTCTCCGTTGTGCCTTCTGCCAGTCGGATAGAAAAACCAGTGAATGTATTGTTTTTAAATCCACTGTCTACTGGAAAACAGCTAAAAAGAAAAAAAAAATTAAATTTTTGAATTCTTTTTACAAAAAATGCTGTGCCACTGTACCTTCATCATGAGAGAAAACCATTCTTTTGTGATTTAAAACCCACTTATTTTTGTACTGTACCTTTATTTAAGCTACGTTTAAAGAACTTTGATTTAGGAAAGTTTGTTTAGTTAAAAATATTTTTTTTTGTGTACCAAATGTGTAAAAACTTGAAATCTATACCACCAAAAAATGAAAAGAAAAACACATTAATGCCTTTTTTAAATAAAAGGAACCACAATGTCTGCGTGCTTTATTGCAATATGTGACGTGACCTTTATGTTGCCAGATGTGTTTTTGCTTTAGCCAGAATCTGATTAGTGATTAAAATGTTTTATTTACATCAGGGAGTAATTCAACCAATTAAAGAAAGTTTAGTGTATCAGAACTACAAAACTACTACAGAGATATTCATCTTGTTTCTATTTTTATTTTGGTCGGATGAGACGAAAAGCTGAACTTTTAAGTCCCTTCAGGGACTCCACCACCACAGTGAAGCACGGTGGTGGTAGCATCATGCTGTGGGGATGGTTTTTACAGAGACTGGGAAAATGGTCAGAGTTAAAGGAAAGAATTGGAGCAAACTAAAAACTTCAGGGAAACTGTCTGCCTTTTTGTCCAAGTCAAACATTTGTGGGATGTTTTCTAAGACTGAGGAAGAGCTCAAATCCAACGTTGACATCTATGTCCAACCAGATAAAAACAAATATGTTCTTCTTCTTATGCTACAAAAACTGGTATGACTGGTGGTGTTCCATTTGTGGAGTTAAAGTCGAGATCTCCGGATTTGTGTTGTTCCAAAACCCACAGACGACAGAAGTGTGAAGTGAACAGTCACGATCTGAGCTGACCGAGTTCAATTTCTACGGTTTCTAGAAATACTGAACACACTTTTCTTGAGATGGTTTTTCCAGACATTTCATGTATTTATACTTGCAATTACTTAGAAGGTGAGACTGTATGAAGTCTACATTGAGTGACTGAGCTGCTCTCATTATGCCAAGGACTCACAAGAGGGCGCTCACAGTCAGGTCTGTAAGTCCACCGCTGCACCATCCTTCCATTTTCTTTACCTACTTCTCACTGGGTCACACAGAGCTGGTGTCTGTCTCCAGTGGCCACTGAAGGAGGTGGGGGACAGCCTGGACAGGTTCCAAGTCCAGCACAGACAAACGGGACAACCAACCAGTCCCAGCTACAAATTGGACTACTGATGTGGGAGGAAACTGGAGTACCTGGAGGAAACCTGCACAGGGAGAACATGTAAACTCCACACATGAAGGATCCAGTCTAGAAGGCAAAATATGACCTTCCTGAGAAGCCACAGCTCTGACCACTGCTTCACCGTGTCGCCACTTCCTGTCACTGAATGACAGAAACTACTGTATTCTGGTTATTGGGGAATCTTTATTGTTGCATTTTCTATAGCCATGCATAAAGAACTTTAGGGAATATGGTTCCCCGTTTGCCCAACACATATTAGATTTTCATATTTATGAAAAACACTGGAATGTTGCAGGAACGGACTAAGAGACTTGGCAAAAGAGCCTTCTCTCCTGGAACACCATGCATAAAGATCTGCAGCTCTTGACCTCTGAGTGGCTTCAAACATCTGATAAGTTCATGGCAAAAACCAACGCAGACATGTTCCTGTTAGTATTTTACATCGCTTTATAATGTCACTGTTTTTGTTTTGTTTTTAATTTCCATTTTCATTTTATATCTTTTTATATGACTGTTGTTGTTTGTACCTCATCTGTGGCTTTTGTTTAAAACAGGTCTCTCTTGTAAATGAGTCCTCGTGGCTCAGTGAGACTAACCTGTATGAATAAAGGTTGAAAAAATATAAACGTAAATAATGTTCAAGTTATTTGTCTCTTTCCGTTCACCTTCTCTCTAAGCCAGCACCTCACTGGGTGGTGACGGAAAAATGATGAAAAGCATTTGTGAGAAAGTTTTCAAAATGTCTTGAAATGTTTGCCAGGCAGGCAGCACGGTGGCACAGTGCATAGAGCTGCCACCTCTCAGCAAGCAGGTCGTCCTGGTTCAAATCCCGGTCCGGGGGCCTTTCTAGGTGGAGTTTGCATGTTCTCTCCGTGCATGCGTGGGTTTTCTTCGGGTACTCCGGTTTCCTCCCACAGACCAAAAACATGCATGTTAGACTGATTGGTAACTCTAAATTGTTTCTAGGTGTGAGTGAGAGAGTGAATGGTTGTTTGTCTCTATGTGTCCCTGCAATGGACTGGAGACCTGTCCAGATGTCCCCTGCCTCTTGCACAGTGACTGCTGGACTTGGGCACCAGTGACCCCCACGACACAAAAAGGAAAAAGTGGGTAAAGATGATGGATGGATGTTTGTCAGGGTTCTCAATTTTTTGTGCAAATTGCATGAGATTTTCAAAACATTTATTTTTAATTAATAGTTTGCCTCCAAAGAGTTGTAGACTCGCAGAAATTTGAGATTTATTCAGTTCAATTCAGTCTATTTACATAGCACCAAGTGAAAACGGAAGTCATCTCAGGGCACTGAACAGAAACATTCACATACATAATTCAATTAATAATAATACTTTATTTATAAAGCCCTTTAAAACAACCACAGCTGCCACCAAGTGCTGTACATATAAATTCAAGAACATTTAAACACATAAAACAGTTAAAACATTAAGATCAATAAAAACGATGCAGAGCAAATTCAGTCTGTGCTAAAAGCCAGGGAGTAACTGTGTTTTTAAGAGTTTTAAAACTGGACAGTGAAGGGGCTTGTCTGAGGGGAAGAAGGAAATCGTTCCACAGTTTTGGAGCAGCAACAAAAAAAGCTCTGTCCCCTCTGAGCCTCCGTTTGGACCTCGGCACCTCTAGGAGCAGCTGATCAGCTGATCTGAGGCACCGAACAGGTAAAACCATTTAAACTTTTAAAAACTAATAATCTTTCAAATGAACAGGCAGCCAGTGGAGTGAAGCCAGAGAGGGGGTGATGTGCTCTCTCTTTTGAACTCCAGTTAGAAGCCGAGCAGCAGCGTTCTGGACCAACTGGAGACGTCTGAGGGAGGACTGGCTGACTCCAAGGTAAAGAGTGTTTCAGTAATCCAGCCGAGAGGTGACAAGGCATGGATTACCATTTCCACCTGATGCTGTGTAAGGATGGGCTTTACCTTAGCCAGCTGTAACTGGCCTTGCCCACTGCTCCAATCTGGGAATCTAATTTAAAATCACTGTCTACTTTAAAACCCAAGTTAGAAACTGTTTTCTTTACATGTGGTGCCAGAGGGCCCAGATCAACAGGGCAAGGATCACTGGAGTCACTAGGACCAAACACTACCACTTGTTTTTTTTTATTGAAATTTAAAAAGTTTAAAGACATCCAGGCGTCTTCAAGACACAATAGAAGTGGCCTGATTGAGGGAGCATATTTCGTTTTTAGTAGCATATAGATCTGATTATCGTCAGCATAACAGTGAAAAAAGATCCCATGCTTACTGAGGACTGATCCCAAAGGAAGCAGGTAAAGGGAGAAAAGCAGGGGACCTAAAATAGAGCCCTGTGGAACCCCAAAACACAGAGGAGCAGTGGAGGATTCAGAACTAGCTATGTTGACACACATGGTTCTGTCTGCCAGATGTGTCCTAAACCAGCTCAGTGCAGTACCACAGATACCCACTCACGTTGAGGTTCGAACAAAGGTACGTTGTTCTTAGCTCCTTAATTTTACATGGGCCCACACAGACCAGTATTTGCAGTATGACTCCTATCACCCTTTGGAGCACAAGTTAGGAGTCATCAGGACTCTGTATCACAGAGCAGACAGCGTCGCCACTAGCTCAGGAGCCAGGCAGAAGGAGAAATCCCACACAAGACAGGCTCTAGAGCAATGTGGATATCCTAACTGGGCCTTCCTAAAAGTAGAGAAGAAACCCAAACAGGACTCCAGTCAGCCAACAGGTGAAAAGGAGGAACCCAGACCAGTGGTCATTCCATATGTTGAGGGAGTATCAGAGAAACTGAGACGTTTATTTTCTAAACATAACGTCCCAGTGGCTTTTAAACCCCAAAATACATTACGGCAAAGACTGGTTCATCCCAAAGATCCAGTCCCCCGGCACAAACAGAGTAATATTGTGTATGTTGTTCAGGGTCAGGAGGGCTGTGGTCAGTCTTACATCGGGGAAACTAAACAGCCACTGGCCAAAAGGATGTTTTGTTTTTTTGAATGTCCAGAGGACCAGATTGAACTTTTTTGGATTTTTCTACCTGGATTATTGAGCATGCATCAGGGTAAAGACCAGATGTTTTTGTGTTGAACTTTTTTGAAAAACTGTGCACCCATCACTACTCATGTCACTTTTTGGGGTGGTCCTGTGAATACGGCCCTCAGCAAGTACGAGAAGGATGTGATTGCTTTTGGCTATCTCCTGGCCAAAAGACTTGTTTTGTGCAATTGGACGTATCCACACACCCCAGCATATGTACATTGGATAAGAGAAGTGATGTATCATATTCATCTAGAGAAAACAAGATATACCCTGAAGGATTATCTTAAAAAATTTGAGACACTTGGCAGCCTTTTATGTTGTATATAAAACATGTCAGTGCCTGTGTAATTCATTTATGTATGTGTGACTGATCTGGTGGAGGGGTGGGAGAGGGTTTTGTTCTTTGGGTTTTGTATGTTCAAAATTAAAAAAATAGTTAAAAAGATTTTGATTAAAAATGATAATAGAAGGATGGTTAATCTGACTGAATCATGTCTGTCTTTTTTTTTGTCCCCTGCACCAGAGTATTCTGACGGGAAGACCAATCAGAGTAGATTAGCACCAGCTGTGCCACCTGACCGAGAAAGCTTTGGCTTTTGACAGCTCACCTCTGTGTTTGTTTGGAAGCTGAAACAATGAGAGCTGTTTGGATTTTCTTGGATGTTTTGCTGCTATGTTGGCTTACTAAAGGTTTTGCTCATTTTGTTCTATCTTATAGTCATAGAAATCTTCAGATTTAGGACTAGTGTTTCTGTATTATATACTTTGTTTACACTGCTGTGGAAGTCTAAAGTTGGACAGTGGTTGAAGTTGACCAAAACACTAGTGTTGAAATGTAATTTTTCTACAAAAAAGTCTTAAAGTAGCTCTATTGTGCCGTTTAAGAAAATAGGTGACCGAATGCAAAATGCATTCAGTAGACACCTGTTTGCTGGAACAACACAAAAAGCTGCTAATAAGCTACAGAGAAGTAAAGACCCTTTAAAATGTTTTAGGGGCTACTTTTCCATGCTAATTTCATCTCTATTTTTTAAGGTTCGACTCCAAGTGGCATTTCTCTGAAAACCCTTGGACTTCTCAAGTCAATGGATTCCATGATGGAGAAACGTGTTAAAGAAGGTGAGAAGGTTGTGGTAAACTCCTCTGGTTAATTGAATGTTGGTAGTACTTTGGCACAAGTTTTTTCTTTATCATCTTGGTTGAAGTTCAGGTCTGTTAGATCCTTCAAAAACATGCATCAAAAACATGCATAAAGTAACATTGTAAATAAACTGACATATTTCACATGAATGTATTTAAGTAAATAATTTATGTGGATGTGTTTTGCATAATTATGCTGTACTGTAACTTGGTAATTTTTGTTTTTTATAGTACTTCTGGAAACCAATACAATGGATGCTGAGAAATCATTTGGCCAGGTGAGACTAGTAGAACTTACCAGTGAGATGAACTTGAGGTCTGAGGAGGAAAATCAAATGAGCACCGGTAAAGGAACTGTGGCTGCCTGGGCCCCTGCTGGCAACAGGACTTTGGCTGAGGCTGCGGCCGCCTGGGCCCCTGCTGGCAACAGGACTGTGGCTGAGGCTGCGGCCGCCTGGACC